TGGTGGATGAGTTGCGGCTGGAATTTCATTGTGTTTTGCAACTTCAGGATCGTTCCCGCAATGTAAATGGCACTTTCATGTTTGGTTGGATCATGTCTTCCAGTTACATTTTGGGAGGAAGTCTCGCAGAATTGCTTCGTTTTGCAGGTGTTCAACATGCATTTTGGAAGGAAGTTTCGCAGTTTCGCAATGTAAATCACAGAGTGCCACTGCGTGCACACTGCCAGAGCGAGTACGCCGTTGTGGGCTGCTCGCATGACGCCATCGTTGCGGACCGGAAAAAAGGGAGTCTGCAGGGCATGTGCGAAGGGACACTCCTATAGGTCAAATTGTTCTCATAGGAAACTTCCGCCGCCGCCCTTTGAGGATGTCTCTGGGAAGAGTTTGTTAGAGACCTCAGGAGCGTTATCATTCATTCTTAGGTTTCACATTGACACAAGACTGGGCATTGGCTCGGCACGTTGCGAATGGGTTTCGTCCCTTGGATTGCAACGCTTGAGGCGTTGCGTGAACTCCTTGAGGGCTTGGAAAGTTTGGCAACAGCCTCCAGGCAGCAGATTGGGTGGAGATGCACGGCTTTTAAACATGTTCAGGTCGTGCAACACGAGTAGGATTACTTCTTTCAACAGCACGTCCCATACTGTTTGTTTCTTGCTCCCATGGGGCCAATTGGCACTTTCTCCACAAAGGCTGTTTCATGGTGCGGGCGATCGCAATCACAATTATGCGCTGTTTGGTGCGCTATTTGTTTCATGATTCCTTGCAATGATCTGGGTGACTAGCATCCGGCTGCTGCTTGTTGTTTGAAAGCAATTTCTTTTTAAATCAAGGGACCTCACAAACTCCGGATGTGATGGGGATAGCTTGTCAGTCAATTGAAATTTCATGAAATTTCACCACCTGTGCTGAAAGGCGATGTCCTTTCATCATTGGATCAAAGCATTGCATCCCAGGACCAATCCCCATGAAAAAATATGTTCGATGATAAAACAACTATATATGTATAAACTGTTGTATACTTCTTAGTATACATATAATTAAAATTTACTATACTTGATTTGTAGCAATGGAAACCAAAACATTTGTTGATTGTGTCACTGTGTGTCCCATCCGTTATGAAACATGCCATGTCCATGACTACTACGCAAACGAAATGATTTACCAATTTGGCCTCACATCGAACGAGATGGCCGAACCCAGATATTGGACATTTGGTCATGGACCCGACTCTCCGTGTGTGTCACAAAAACTGGTTCCACCATCGCTTCAACTGTCTCGATGATATAACCGCTGTTTCGTGGTTTGGACATGGCAGATGTCCTCATGTCCTGGGGGTTTAAGACGATGATTTCCGATGATCGCCTATGAACAAAAGCACTCGAATCGTCGGTCCACCGATCCACATGCGGTCGCCACCCAGGATGTCTGAGTGCTCCACTGAGCAGCTTCATGGCGAGCTGCCATGCCAACATGGGGCAGCTCACCTCGGGAAGATGGGAGGCTCAAACCGGAGAAGGCTCACCGGGTACTCGAAACCATCCCAGTTTTTTCTTTAAATGTACTGTTCAACTTCAGAATTGGTTCAGTTCAGCACCAATTTGGGCTATATATATCAAGATGATTCCAGATATACTGTAGATGTTTCTTTTTGGCCACAGTGCGCGAAACCGCGCTATATAATATATAATGCTATATATATAGTATATATATATGTATATATTGACTGGCACCCTCCAGTGCAGGTGCATTCATCCAAAGGTAAGCTCAGCAAAGACGTGCAGATTGCACCATAGCGAGCAGATTTGCAAGTTTAGTTAATTACATGTTTGATCACATCAACCGTTCAACATTCATTCAGTGTGCGCAACGTGTACCTCCAGATGGACACCCAAAACCGACCCAGCACACACACAAAACCGACCCGGTCGGTAGATGTTCGAGCTTCAGAGCTTGATAGACAAATGTCCCATTTCTCGCGCTTCGGGGCTGTGAGTCCAGACATTCAAAACCGGCAAAGTAATGAAGTGTACCACCCCAAATGTTGGTGGTTGACCACTTGAAGTGTTGTCAAGCCTCCATGGTTTGGTGCGGCCATGACCCACTGCCATGTTTGTTGTGTTTTAGAAGGACACCGGACACTCGAAGGCAAAAGTATACAAGCGACACCTCAGGGCATGGCTGTTGAGAAGGGGACGCTCACTCAAGCAGTGAGTTTGTTGAGACCTCATGTTTGCTGTCACTGCCGTCGTTTAATCCTGGCTTTTCCAGGCTATTCCCCAAAGAAGCAAAGCCAATTTGGGACATTTTGGGATCCATAGAATTCCATAGCCTCACAGCCAGAAAATATGTTTGGACAGCCAAAATTTGTGGGGTCATCGTGGTTTTCTTCAGGTCTTGGGGGCTAAGGCAATGGGAGTGCACCCCCCCAATTGCTTCGACATAGAGATTGCTCCCGAACAGTGTGGAACTAAACTACACACGAACAGCACGTTTGGAGTAACGTCACTTGTTTGAAGCATTCACATAAATCACATCAACGAAGGACATAAACGAAGGGCACTCGGCGCATTTGTACCGGTCATACGGCGCCGTCACGACTGAGGCCATGGAAGATCAAAGGGTGACTCAAGGTGTACAGGAGCTCAGTGCCGTGGGTCCCAAAGAAACACGACACATCCCAGACGCTCATGATCAACTATGTTTCGGTGCTCAATAACCTAGGCAAGTGCAAACTGGACATGAATAAATATATGAACATATGAACACATGTTTGTTCATGTCCAGTTTGCACTTGCCTAGGTGTGGTTTGGGTTTGATGGGTCAACCAGCTTTGTTGTAGGCTGTTTGAACGCCTCGAGTGCAGAGCCTGCAAAACACTTCAGTGGTAGCAGTCACGAAAAGTATCACGACCTGTTTGGGCGCATATTGACCTACATTGACCTCCAAATTGGGGGCGGTTGACTATAGGGGTCATACATTGGTTCGGCATCGAAGCAATATCAAGTCCCCATTGGGCGTGGTTTAGGTTTGTGAACCACCCTGAACCCTAAACCCTAAACAATATCAAGTGCGGGTCGTGTTTGGGTTTGTCCTTTGCTCCTAGTAGCGTCCGATCGCTCCGTTCGTAGCGAGGCCAGGAGCCCCGAGAATCGTAGCGAACCTTGTTCCGTTCGTAGTAAGGCCAGGAGCCCCGTTCGTAGCGTCCTTCACCCTAAACCCACAAAACCACCGTCGACTCAGGTGCCACGGAGGTTCTACTCACCTTGTGGCGCATGGCTATCGACCATGTGGTGCGCTTCAATCGAGTGCGACTGGTAGGCGCCCACGGTTGGGAAAACCACCTAATTTTCGTTGGGACCAACAAGATACGAGTTGTATCAAGTTGTATGAACTTTGGGCTAAATAATGCTAAATGCATCTAAATTATAATACTCTAAGTCTTAGTACTATCTATGTTTTACAACAAAATCCGTTTTGATTTGAGCCAACAGTTGCGAGAGGGGTGCATTTCAACTAAAAGGAATTTGCTATGCTCCACCCTTCCTGTGAGTGTGCAATAGATTGGCTGGGAGAGTGTAACTGTGCCGTTGGCTCCGTTAGCTGAATGATTCTATCGCCAGCCTGGCAAACAAACCATGAGGAATTTCCTATGCCATGTTCGTTTTGGTCTTGGTGTGTCCCGAAGTGACCTGGCTCAAACAATAAAAAGAAGCTGGTGCTATCGACCACGAAAGAAAGAACTTCCGAACTTCCTATATAAACTTGGATGCTCATACTCCACAATTCTTTTCTGGTGTCTTGTAGTCAGGGCCATCCCTGATGTTTCCAGACGTGCTTTGCAGGCTTCTGGGCCTTGCTGCCCTCCTGCGTGCCTATGATCTGGAGAGCCGTTGCTTCTTCCGCCGAGGACACCAGCCGCTGGGCTGAGATTGGGACTCTCCGTCCTGAAGGGGGCTCGTCTCGTTTGCATGCTCAACCCATGTCAACCGGGAGCTCCCGGAGAAAGAGACGCATTCGTCTTTGTCTTATTGTAAACCGGTCTGAGCCTGGAACCAAACTCAAGAGTTCGTGTGTTCCAAGTGACCTTATGTGACGTGCTTGTTAGGAAAATTTACAGCGAAACAGAGCTGCTTTGAAGCGTTTAAAAAGGTCATGAAAGCTATGCAATATGTGTGAGAGGTGATTCACACGACACAAGCAGCACGCTTGTAGAGGTGGCAGGGCCTTTTTGTTGTGTAGTCCGCGCCAGCTCTCTACTACCTTGTCGGCCTAATGAAAGCTCCGAGATGCTTCATTGGCCTGTCACTTGACCTGTGCCCTCAAGGGCTTCCATGTTCTGTTGCCACGTGTTGCCAAGAGAATGAGAGCCTGCAATCAACATGCGTATGGATTCGAAAGGTTTTTGTCGTTTGCCCCTGTTCTTTTGTCACTTGAGTTTTGGACATACAAAGTCCACGAATTTAATTCAACCTTTGACACGTTCGGACATGCGAAGCCCGACGTGGGAAAGCGTTCATTCTCCCCGAGAAAAAAAGAAAAAACACCTGTTGTTTCAACTGCAATGAACCTCTTTTGCATCTTCACTGAAAAACCTTTCAATCTGAAGCGCGGAAGTGAGGTAGACCAGACCTCATTCTCCAAGCTGCATTCGGTCGTAGCCCACCTGTGCCTGGTGATGCAAGGTGTGTGTCTCTCAGCCCACCTGAGCTGACGGAGGGGGATCAAAGACACCACGTGACCAGCCCTTCCCAATGAATGACCTCTATAGTAAGCAACATAGCCCTAATATAGCCACCCCTTTTATTAACACCCATCTAATCAACAGCTTACATCTAGCCTACTCATGAAGCTAAAAAAGGTGTTTTTGTTGGCAGAAGAGCGACAACAAGAGTCTATCACTGCGCCAGCTACGCTCCCTCAACGAATGGTGACGTGGAGAACTCGCCACCACCTGTTTGCTCTTCGGATTTCATCCGAGTCTTCAGGGGTGGCGAGTCATCCCACGTCACCATCGTTTCTTTCAGTCTAAGTCTAGTCGCCGAGTCACCGAGTCACTGGGTCGACGCAGGTCTGTCGTCGTGCGGCTTCTCGTGCGGCTGAAGACGCGACAGATTGGTGATGCGAAGAAAACCATGCAATCCAATGTCAGCAAAGTCGCGGTTCGGCAAAGGAACATGCATTGTGTCCTTCATGTTTCGGGTAATTGGCGCTCCTGTTGGCGGTTCAGGTGGGCATTTTGGTTTATTTGTTGAGCGGCAAGAAGGTCAGAAGCCTTGTGTTGTTTGATAGGAGGCTAATTACCGGAGGGACTTCGGATCTGGATCTATTGGGTTGTTCGCGGTCCACCCACCCAGTTCAAACAGTTACGCATCCTTCCTGAGAGCGGTTTCTGATGGTAGTTTCTAGAGTAAACGCTTACAGTGGTTTCAGAGTAGATAGCACAACCCCCAAGATGACTTTGGCAAATTCCTCTATCTACTCTCGATCCGTAGGAATTTGTGTCAGATCATCTCTGTTGAGAATGGATCACAGGGCGATTTCGGCATCTCGAATTAATGTCTTGGGCACCCCTCGGCCACATGTGGAGTTGTAAAGCTCAAGTGGAAGAAGTCTAGGATATGGTACGGTTCGATTGCTGCGATGATTTCAGCTGCAATTGTTGGTCCCACTGAGGTCCTTTTGTTGTCATGGGTGGTGGAATGATGTTTTTTCCTTGCTTGATTCTGAACACTGAGGTGATCTATGCAGTGGTCACCTCTGCATTGATTTGTTACATGCACGTCTTCCTAGCAGGACTCTTTGCAGCCTCTCTGCTGCAGATAATTTTTGTTCGGCTAAGCCATTTTCTGCTTGCTCACAGGGACATCTCTCAAATGAAGGGATATGTTTGACGAGCATGCAGAATTCTGGAACTTCATGGTTGGGTGTCTATGTTCCACCCTACCAGTGGTTTCTGCAGGTTCCCCTTTAAGACATGTCTAGTCTCTGTCACCAGTTTTGCTTCATGTGATTCATTTGCAGTGGACTTGCAATAGAAAGAAGACACCCAAAAGATTTTGATATACTCCCCTCTAATACACTAACTACTCCAGGTTATGATCAGGCTCATGGCTTCCAGCCAGGCTTCCTGGCTCAACACCGATGGCCATATGAATGGCTATATAACCCTCGCGCTCGGAGCCGAGGTCATGGGGATCGTCCACTACAAGCGAATGATGATGGTGCTCCAATCCATTTGCCGCCTCACACGGCCACTCTTCTGCGTCTTCCCGAATCTACCGCAGGCGCGGAAGGATGGAAGGAGAGACGAGGAGCCGAGGGGAGGACGGGGAGAGGGATTGGTGCGCGGGAGAGGACCAGTGCATGCTGTGGGGCATGAAACCGAGTTGGGCCAAGTGGCCACATGGTGGCAGGGCCATTTGTGTGAAGTGAGAACTTCTTCCAAAACTCTAGTTTGTTGGTTTGCTAGTTGAGTTTCTGAAGGAACATGCAATGATGTAGGTAAAGGCAACTATGCTCCTCCAAAGACAGACGATTGCTTCAATTCAAAAGAATAGCTACAGTATGCTACAGTAAGATATATACATATAATTGGTGTTGGTGCTTGATTGTAGTGCTGATGGCCTCACTCCAGAGCCCCCAGGATGCAGGTGAGTGTAAGATATTCTACGTTTGTCAGTGCTTGTTTGTAGTGCTGAAAGTATGCAAGTGAGTGCTCGGTGCGCAAGTGAGGTAAAGTGCGCAAGAGAGTGAAATTTCCAGTGTGCCAGTGAATATCAGTGAATGTAATGTAAGTGAGTAGGGTGAATGTGGTGCCCGCAGTGTGCCTGCTTGACTTCCTTGTGTTCTTTTGTGCGCGGGAGGCAAGACTTTTTTTTGGAGCACCTCCCAGGGATACCAAGGCTATCGTTACGATATGTGCACCTTCTATAGATGTGTGAATCTGGGTATGCAACCACATACTGACGCTTTGGGATGTCCTTTCAGATGTCCTCTCCCCCCCCAAAAAAAAACTTTTTGCGTCTTTTGCCTCAGCTTCTACTTGGCTGTACTTCAAAACCACCAATACACCGAAGCAGGGCACGACCTACCTGACGATACGGTCGGAAACGCGCCTCCTGGTGGAGGGATCCTTTCGCCGTTCTCAGGCTCAGCTGAGTGGAAGAGTCGGTGTGGAGAATATGCGCGCGGTCTTGGCCTGCTTCGAGGTTGGGTGGGAAGCGTTTTCTTTTTTTGGGGGAAGTTGTGCATGGGTACTTGTAGCTGTAGTAGCTGTCATGAGTTCATGTCAGCAAAAAATGAGGGGGAAGAAGGGTAGGATTGAGTGACCAAAAGCAGTGGGAAGGGAATGGAAGAGATATAGAAGATCAGTGATGGTATTTAGCCTACAGAATGGTGGGGGTTAACCCTCCTACAGAATGCACATTTAGTAGTAAAGGGGTTTGGTCGCACGACCCCTGTGGTTGGGATGCCAGCATTTTGTAGGCAGCAAGAGGGTTGGGTGTACTTATTTAGTAGGGAAAAGAGAATGCACGATTTGTGGGTTGGGTGTACTTATTTGGTAGGGGAGGTCCTTCATTTTGTAGGGAATCATAATGGATGGATATTCTAACAGTCCTGCGTCCGGAGATCTAGCCTAGGCAGGGGGGCTGAAAGGGCAAAGGTGGAGGGCGGAGAGGAATCTTTGATAGGCAGGATGTGGGCTGGTGCACCTGCTGGTGTGGGACAGGCCTACTGTACAAAATCAGAGGCACAATCCCAGGCATCTGCTTCAGCGTCGGCTTCTGCTGATGACGGGGTCTGCACGTGTTGTGCTTCGTCGGCCCTATCCTCAGAGTCTTTCTCTAACATACCTGTCTCTTCCTGTTCTCGTGCTGCAGTCTCGGAGCTACCCGAGCTGACATCGATGGCAGGGGCAGGGCTTTGCTGCGGCCAGTAACAGCCTGCTTGCAGAAGTCCAGGTTGGGGGGGAAGGTGTAAGTCAGATCCCCTGGTGCCAAGCTCTGGTTGGCTCCTCCATGCGTCATAAAAGTAAATCTTGCGCAGAGCTTCGAACTGGTATTCTTTTGCCTTATGTGCGGCATCGGCTTCTTGCCCTGGTGGGTAGCGACTAGTGCTTCCTACGCTAAAGCGAGCCCCCCCTTACCAGCATAGTGGAGGAGTCGCCAGGCATTGGGCTGCGCGCTGTCAGGGACGACGAGCCAGTCAGGCACAGAGGCACAATCCCAAGGGTTGGCATCCCCATTTTGTAGAGTAGGGAAGGTGGCCAGTGGTGACCAAGAGTAGGCAGGTGGCTCAAAGGGCAAAGGTGGAGGGTGGAGGGGTAGCTTTGACAGGTAGGATGTGGTGGAACTTGGTGCATGTGACTGGGTCTTGCTGGTGTGTTTGCTGGTGTGGGACAGGCCTGCTGTACAAAATCAGAGACACAAGCCCAAGGGTTGGGCCGAGCCATTTTGTAGAGTAGGGAGGTGGCCAGTGGTGATCAAGACTAGGCAGGTGGCTCAAAGGGCAAAGGTGGAGGGGCATCTTTGATAGGCAGGATGTGGTGGAACTTGGTGGGTGTGACTGGGCCTTGCTGGTGTGTTTGTTTGTGTGGGAGCGGCGTGCTGTACAAAATCAGAGACACAAGCCCAAGGGTTGGGCCACCCCATTTTGTAGGTTAGGGAAGGTGGCCAGTGGTGACCAAGACTAGACAGGTGGCTCAAAGGGCAAAGGTGGAGGGTGGAGGGTAGCTTTGACAGGTAGGATGTGGTGGAACTTGGTGGTTGTGACTGGGTCTTGCTGGTGTGTTTGGTGGTGTGAGACAGGCCTACTGTACAAAATCAGAGACACACGCCCAAGGGTTGGGCCACCCCATTTTGTAGAGTAGGGAAGGTGGCCAGTGGTGACCAAGACTAGGCAGGTGGCTCAAAGGGCAAAGGTGGAGGGTGGAGGGGTAGCTTTGACAGGTAGGATGTGGCGGAACTTGGTGGATGTGACTGGGTCTTGCTGGTGTGCTTGCTTGTGTGGGACAGGCCTGCTGTAGAAAATCAGAGACACAAGTCCAAGGGTTGGGCCACCCCATTTTGTAGAGTAGGGAAGGTGGCCGGTGGATCTTGGTGGTTGTGACTGGGTCTTGCTGGTGTGTCTGCTTGTGTGGGACAGGCCTACTGTACAAAATCAGACACACAAGCCCAAGGGTTGGGCCACCCCCCATTTTGTAGAGTAGGGAAGGTGGCCGGTGGTGACCAAGCCTAGGCAGGGGGCTGAAAGGGCAAAGGTGGAGGGTGGAAAGGTATCTTTGATAGGCAGGATGTGCACCTGCTGGTGTGGGACAGGCCTGCTGTACAAAATCAAAGGCACAAGCCCAAGGGTTGAGCCCCTCCATTTTGTAGAGTAGGGAAGGTTGCCATGGGTGCAGAATGGTGCAGATGACATGTCCTGAAGGACCCTTCAGATATATATATATATAATTAGATATATATACAAATAATATATATATATACATATTTAATTGTTTTATTTAATGTATAATAAGTCAATAAGTGTATACATGTGTATACAGAAGATTTAGAAGATTGACCCTGCATTCCGGGTACTTGGCGGAATCAGCCAGCCAGCCGCATATCAAAGTACCCGGCGGAATCAGCCAGCCAGCTAGCTAAAAAGTATCCGGCGGAATCAGCCAGCCAGCCAACTATCAAAGTATCCGGCGGAATCAGCCAAGCAAAGTATCCGGCGGAATCAGCCAGCCAGCCACCAAAAGTACCCGGCGGCTGGCGGAATCAGCCACCAAAAGTACCCGGCGGCTGGCGGAATCAGCCACCTAAAGTATCCGGCGGAATCAGTCAGCCAGCCACCTGTCAAAGTATCCACCGGAATCAGCCAGCCAGCCAGCAACTTCTCAAAGTATCCGGCAGAGTCAGCCAGCCAGCCAGCAAAGTATCCCGCGGAATCAGCCAGCCAGCCACCAAAAGTACCCGGCGGCTGGCGGAATCAGCCACCTAAAGTATCCAGCGGAGTTAGCCGGTAGGCAGCCAGCAGAAGTATCCGGCGGAATCAGCCAGCCAGCCACCTATCAAAGTATAGCCATTAAGCCTAGGCTTCGTGGGGAGTACAGCCATTTGACAGGCGTCCAAAAGCGCGTCAGAAAAACAGTCTTGACATGTCTTGACTTTTCTTGACTTTTGTTGATGATTTTCATGCGCATTCATCTTCACTACCAAATGAGTAGGCCTTTCCAGGCCGCGCCCCATTTTGTAGCAATCAGTGACCTTGGCCCCCTCCATTTTGTATAATTGGCCTATCCCTTCCCTACAAAATGAGTCCATTTTTTTGGGAGTCATTTTGTAGGGATGGGACGTTGGTCGCTGACATTTTGTAGTGATTTTTACTACCAAATAGGGACCCCGACCCCTCACCCTAAATATCAACGGGGATTATAGAAGTATATACACATGTATAACATATTTAGTTGTAGATTAGACTGAACCAAAACCGAATATGTGTAAGTGTATATATAATTTCTATGTTGATGTGTCAGGGTATGACGGCCCAACAACCTGGAACCATACGGCTCAGTTCAAGAAGAACCACGGAGCACGGGCTGAAAAGTGGAATCTGAACCATAAGCAGCATATGGGTGTGTGTGTGTTGTGTGTGTCCATACCTGTTTCTAAAGAAACTGCATTGTATAAACTTCTTTTCCGCAGGGGGATGGAGAGGACATGTGAAGCTCCATCCAACGAAGCTCCTCACATGATCCTAGGATATCATCAGGGACGCCTGATGACGTACCTGCAGATTCCAATGATGTAAACAATATTGTTGCCGACTTCTTCACCTTGCCGTTCCCTCTCAGGGCCGTTTCTCAGGTTTCAGGCAGCGCTCTAAACCGGTATTGTAATCACTAGAGTGGACTGCCGCAACTGATTCAGCTCTTGCGAGCCTCAATCTAAGTGTGTATCGCCACAGGGTCCCACTGAGGTCTGTGGTGTGATCCCCGACCAGGGGCGCAGCAGCCGCACATGCCCTCAAGGGTGATTCTTCCTGATCCTTCTTCCTTCACCGGATCTTTTCCTCGCAGCCCCCACCTGATCCACTGTCTTGCGGGAAAAAGCTGATTATACGCCGCAGGGCTTATTGAGATCAAATCCAACCGGACTTCCTCACGCGGCTAAGTATTCACAAGTCCGTGCCATGTCATGCGGCCAAGTACTCACCTGCCTTTTTGTTTTTTCTTTCCTGCTGTTGCTTTTCGTTTTCTAGAGGCTTTTTAGGTGTAACGGAGGTTTTTGTTTTGTGCCGATTACGGCTTTTTTGCCTGTGCCTTCGGGCCAGTGCAACCCCATGCATGAGAATTCGCCAGGCTCCCCCC